TTTTGAAATATTAAGTAATGATTTTGATTTTAATAAATTTAGGTCAGTTGCAACTAAGTTGCAACTATGACTTGCGGTCATTTTTGACGTAAGTCATATGTTGCAACTGAGGCTTGTTTTGCAACTGTGGTTGCAATTGCAACGGTGAGTTGCAGCAAAACAAACATATGCAACTGGTTAAATTGGACCTAGTTGCATGCAACTGGAGTTGCAACCACTCCAGTTGCAGCCTACCAAACAGCCCCTATATCTTTTTCCCCATAAATTTGATTTGCCCAAGTGTTTTCTTAAATAAAAATCACTCGTTGATTCAGCCCGAGACCGAGCCCATACCATTTTGATCATCCCCATTCGTTTGCGTTCGGTTCTTTCCTTTTCTTCCTTCGTCGCTTGCGCTGGTCGCCTCCCTCCTTTTCTCCCTCTTTAATAAATCACCGACTCAAAGATCCATGGCCGCTATTTTCCCTAATCTCTTCGATTCGGCCACCAAAACCTAAGCTGTCCTCTTTCGGGTCGCCTTCATCATCAATCCCTCGACATGTTCGAAGCTCACGTAAGTTTCTCTTCCCCTTTCTTCTCCTTCTCTCTGTGATTTATTGTTGAGATTCTGAAATAAACCTTTTTTGTAATTATTATTTTGGTTCTTGCGCTTGATATAAGTGTTCTTTACGTTTTGTTGCACTGGTTAGCGAATCGAGTGTTTATGTGTCGATTTGAGGAATCGTTGTCTTAGGTTTTAACTTGAAGCATGTATATTTATAGAGGATTGAAAAAAAAAAGGAAAAAAAAAAGAAAAAAAAGAAGAAGAAACGAAATCGTGTACCAATGATTGATGGCTCCTGTAGATGCCTATACTCATTTGAGTTTTTTCTTAAGGAACTCGGCTATACTTTACAATGGTTCTAGAGGTTTATCACCCCAAAAAAAAAAAAAAAAGGAAAAAAAAAAGAAAAAAAAGAAGAAGAAACGAAATCGTGTACCAATGATTGATGGCTCCTGTAGATGCCTATACTCATTTGAGTTTTTTCTTAAGGAACTCGGCTATACTTTACAATGGTTCTAGAGGTTTATCACTGTTATTGAAATTTATGTTTATGGAGTTCATTTAAATTTGATTGACTGAGTTCATGATTTGCCATTTTCTTCTATGACTGATGATTAGCTGTAGATTTAGCATACTCAATTCATTATAATATTCACTGTTTTAAAAAGGCTCTGCCTAGTAGGCGTACGCCTAGGCCGCCTAACTAGCATCTAGCATCTAGCGTCTGAGCTGTACCTAAGCTGTCCACTTAGGTTTTGAGAGTGTTTAGAGGACTTCTGTCTGCTTATATAGACTGCACCCTTTAGACCTTGATCGTGATTTTTAGTATTGTGGCTTCCATATCCTCCAACCTCCTTCAAACTTCTTTAACCTCCAAATATGAACACCTCTACTACCTCCTCTGATCTTCAGCAAAACCTCTTCGACCACCACTTAAATGAAGAAAGAAATCTGTCTAGATATCAGTTGGGCACCTAAGCTTTCTATAACATTGACATTTACTATCAACTATTGTAATTGAAAAATAAAAAAAAGAAAACGAAAACCTCCTAGGCTCTAGGTATGGGGTCCAACGCCTAGGCCTCCTAGCGCTTTCTATAACCTTGTTAGTTATTATTTTAGTTATTTAGTATTTAAGTATCCATAGTTTATTGTGGATCTAAGATTGCTATCTTTTTTTTGTAAATTTATATAAATTTAATGCATATTTTTATTAATTATTATAATTAAATGATTTAAAAGGCAAACGCCTTGGCGCTATGTGTTGGCTCAAATACCTAGTCTGCCCAACGCCTTTTGTAACATTTAATGTTCATTGTTGCAAAACTTTAGCGACAAAAATTTGCCAGCCATGTGAAACTTTCAATCTCCCGTGTAACTTTCAATTTTGGGTGATGAAATACTACTGTATAAACCATACACTTGGCCAAAATAAATGAATAAATAAAATGTGGATTGCAAGAAAATACTGTAAACAAATTTTGTTGGGAATTACACAGGACGCTGTGAACTTTTTTGGTTAGCGAAAAGTAGTCTTTTAAAGAGGCCCACTAAGTGCCTTAGGCGCTTAGAGGCGCTCGGGAGATGATTTTGTATTTACAAAAGCAAGCGGCTGAGACACTTAAAAGTGCTCAGGCGCTCGCCTAAGCCATGCAATATAAGGCATTACAGATGACTGCCTCTAATTTGAATATTAAGTGGGCTATTCAGTGCTTATATTGCAATTTAATTAAAGTATATTGCAAGTTAATTTACTTTAATGTACTCTGTTGGAGTATACTACATTCTATAGAACTAGAATGTAAGGGTGCATATGCAGCTAAAAAAGGCTGAAGGTAACCTATGTAGATGATTTTGCTCTGAAAGTGCATGATTGTGCTACTTGTCAGGAAACGAAACCTAGAACTATGTTTTAAATTTAAGTCATGTTGGCGGTATCATAATGATTGATATCATTCTTTAGCATTTCATATTTGAACATATTGATCAAACATAAGATTACAATTTTTACGCATGTGCTGCTGAAAGGCTGAGGTAGATTATCTCATGATAAATTGGCTGGATCGGTAGATTATTATTTTAGCTGACTTGACAAATTAATTAATAGTTTTGCTGCTTATTGCAGGCATTACATCTGCTGCGGAAGTACCTTGGAGAATATGTAGAAGGACTTTCAAATGAAGCACTTAGAATCAGTGTTTGGAAAGGTTTGTAAATGTTCAGAGGCAATTTGGTTTGTTACTATATAAATATAGCATTGTTGCACAAAATAAGGCTGCTGGTTTGCTGCAAATTGAAACTGTATCTACATCTCCAATTTGCAAAAAAGCAGACACGGTTGCAGTTGGAAGTATCTAATTGCTGCATCTGTTGCCTTCCTATAAATATGTTCTTGCAAACTTGAGTTTTTGCATCAATGACTTGCGATCGATTTAATCAGAAGTCATTTTTACAAGTTATTAAGAGAAGGCTGCCTTTTGGTCCAATCTTTTGGTATCATACCCCTGTGTGTCATGATTTTTTTGAAAAATCACAATTAATATCCATACAACTTACAATAATTTAAAGGTTACATAAGGGTAAAGTTGGAAGGCCATGAAAGAAAAGATAACTGCTTCCACGGTTCCACCCTTATCCCAAAGCCTAATAACTGCTTCCCTTACGTTCCTAACCTAAAAGTGTCATCTAGAAACCCAAACAGACTTATCCTTCAAAGAGAGCAGAGTACACTTTGAATCTCTTAAAATCCAAGCACGCATCACGTGCACCAGGAGACTAGATTTTTTACAAAAAACAAAGCTTACTATTTCTCAATTGCATTTTGATAGTAAATGGCATTTGCAAATAAATTTCATTTGCAAATTAATTGTATTTGCAACTGTGGTCAAAGTTGTAATTTTCTGCAAATCAAACAATTCTTAACAGTTGCATGAAATGAGCATCAGTTCGTCATTTGGTTTACATCACGTGGCATTTTCTATTTTTGACTTCATTAAAAATTAAAAATAATAATCATTCTCAGATGATTATGACTATTTTAGAGCGATTGAAAAGTAATTAAGAAATAGCTAAAAGGTGCAATATTTGGTTGGACTATTTGCTGCACTTCATTCTTAAGTTTGTATCTCCTTTTACCGCTCCACATACTATGTAGCTTAAATTACCAAAGAAAGGTAATAAAAAAATCTAGTTATAGCAAATACTTCTAGCTTTATTTCTCTCCATTTTATTGTGGGTGAATATATAAAGCTAATTCCCAAATTATAGGACGATTGTGCCTCTTTCATTCTCCGACCTTTTATTCTTCTTCCTTAGCCTTTGGTGGCCACCTTAGACCATCATAGGTTCCTTGCCTTGCATCGAGTACCACTGACAATCAAGGTTTTAAATATCGGTTATCGGGGATTTATCGGACGGCCAAAATCCTTATCGGATAGCGGAAATCGGGGATATATCGGGGATAAGTAGTATTTATCGGAGTGATATACGGAATGGTGTATATATATAATATAATAACTGAAAAATGTAATCTAACCATGCATAATGACATATAAACATACCAAAATATAAATCATCATGTTTAAAATCACTAACCAATTGTAGAAAGCAAAACTTATATCTTGACCGCACAATGAAACCATTCGATTGCATAGTCTTACTTATCGGCCGATAATCCCGATAAAAAAACCTTACTTATCGGCCGATAAGTACCGATAACGCCGATAACTCCCCGATAACTTGCCAAAAACGATAACCGATTAAAAATCTAAGTTATCCTATCGGAGAGCTCCCAAATCCGATAACTCGGCCGATAATATCGGTTATCGGCCGATATTTAAAACAGTGCTGACAATAACGAACAAAGTAAAGTTTGTTTTTCTTTCCTTCAATTTTTTATTTCTTCTTTATTGATTATTTATTGTTGTAAAGTATTTAGTTTGCCTATATCATTTGATGACATGCCACAAGTTGAAATGTGAATATTCAAAAATTGTTTGAATATTTGGATATTTTTCACCTTGGTGCACTCAAGCAATCACATTGTTTGGCACCTTCTCCTCGTCTTTCTGTTGTAAAATACTAGCGCATTTATATTTGTCTTTGTTTCTGAAATTTTGTTATTTGGCTTCATTTAAGTTTTCTTTCTAAAAGCAACGTTTTTGCTTATTCCCTTCTCAACAAAGGTGACGTTGTTCTCAAAGATCTGAAATTGAAGGCAGAAGCATTGAATTCTTTGAAGCTTCCCATAACAGTTAAAGCTGGCTTTGTTGGTAAAATAACTCTAAAGGTACTTACGTATTACTTCTGAAGTTTCAGTCTTTATCTTGCGTACATATATGAATACATACTCTTGAATTTTAATATTAATTTCCTGTAAGTTTTCAGGACTGTACTAATTTCCCCCGGGCTTTGTTGTACTCACTAGGAAATTTTCTCAACTACTTCGGGTTATGATCAGAAAAAAATGCTTTAGTCTTTATTGTGAATACTAGCATATA